ATATTGTAGTATATTTCCAAAAGGGTCAAGTTGTAGACCTTTGTTTCAGTATTTTTGTTTTTTCCCCCATCCTTTCCATTTTTTTGTATTTTAGATCACTGAATAGACTTTGGGTAAGGGTGTGCCTTGTTTACCCTGATTTTTAGAAATCACTTCCATCAGGGCTAGGAAGCCTTTCCCATGACAACTTTATAGAGTTTGTGGGAAAGAGGGGTCAACTTCTTCTTTCCAGGCAGGCATATACTCAAATGATCAAATGAGACATTGAAAAGAAGAAAAAATTCAACAGTGATATATATACCACCTGTATACATGGGAGAAATCAAGTAAAACTGAGTAAGTCACCAAAATGATTTAAGTTATCTCATTAAATGGCTTCAGCTTAATACAAAGGATGCTGGGGTAGGGGGTAAAGGGGCAAGGACAGTTACGGGAAGAAAGGCACAGCATACAGAGATAAGATGGCTACACTGCTTTCCCCAGTGAGAAGACAGAGGTTTGGTCTTCCCTGTACAGAGAAGGGGACACACCTACAAAGGGAGATTTTCTTTCCCCATGTAAATGTCTTTTACAAGACGTTCCGCATTTCATCCTGCATTCAAATTCTTTCCTGTGAACCAATCCTTATACAAAAAGACAAATTTTGGGGGTGAAGACTTTGTTCCCCTCCAAGTTTAAGGACCCCAGGCTTATGTCAGGTTTGAACTGATCCCGTGGTTGCGCTACAGGGGTACCTTGGGTGTTGTTTCCTTATAATCAGGAGAGTCAGATCTTTGCTTCAGTAGACAGCAGAGGCAGTTACACAAAGGTCCTGGGGAATCCCATCATTAGTCTGTGTCCATCTAATGGCTTCTTTTCCCACTTTGTTCTCTCTTTGTTCAAAATAGCCCTTGCAGGAGTGACCACCTGATGGGACATCTCTCTCCCATACTGGGGTATGGGAGGCCTGCATCACAACCCAGCCAATGTCATAGCTTCACCACAACACACGTTGACCTGGGTCTACTTTAAGGAGGGCCCTAACACCATACTTCCTGCTCCCAAAGGAGAGGAAGTCTCCCAAGTGCCAAATCTGGTCAAACCAAGAACTGAGTCCTGGTGATGTCAACCATGCATCACAGGGCAGCATAGCTCACAAAATGAGCTTTGCAGTCCCCAGCAGCTCACAGTGAAGCTGCCGTCAGGCAGCAGGCCAGGTGAGCAAGCCAGAGCAAGAGATAACACCCATGGGTGGCAGCCATGTGTGGACATGCTGCTCAGAGTAAACTGGTCACCTGCAGAGGAGTGGTGCCAATGTTGAGGCTGGTGTGGTGCACGTGTAACTAGAGTGGAGGAAAAGGCTTAGGACTCAAATAGTAGTGGTCTCAGGGGAGGACAGAGGCGATCTCTAAAGCAAACATTAAATGGTAGAGGTGTTCACTGTGGGTTGGAGCACATGTGTTCCTGCCCACAGATAGGGGCTAGGATGGGGGTGGCAAGGGCACGGGCTAGGTAGCAACTGTGGAGCCTGACTGCTCATTATAAGGACAAACATGGGTAAGAAAAATAAGCATTTGCAAGGTAAAAGAAGTGATCAAGGGCCTCCCTGGTGGCACAAGCAGTTAAGACACAACCTATGAAGCTGTTTGCAGCCACTGCAGCACGAGTTTGATCCCTGGCCAGGGAGCTACCCACATGGTGCAGCAGACCTCTCCTCTCTCGCCCGCTGCTCCCCTCAGCAATGTATTTCAGTCAGTCTCCTTGTTCTGTTCCCCACTCTGTCTCTGGTGAATCCTCTCACCCCCCCCATACCTCTGGCCTGTACCCCAGTTTTTGTATACATAAATAAATAAATCTTAAAAAAAAAAAAAAGAAGAAGTGATCAAGATTCCTTATGGGTGTTGGTGAAGTAAGAGCACTGGAAGGGACCAGAATGCTCTACCCCTTATCTTACAGCGTACCACTTACCTTCACATGCATTAATATTTAAAATAGTTTATGTCACATTTTCCTATTTTATTTTTATTACTATTTTTAAAAGATTTATTATTTTATGCATGCATGCATGCAAGAACTGGGGTGTGGGCCAGAGTTGCAGAGGATTCACCAGAGACAGAGTGGGGAACAGAACAGGCAGACTGACCGAAATACACTGCTGAGGGGAGCTGTGGGAGAGACAGGAGAGGTCTGCTGCGCCATGTGAGTCAGCTTCCTGGCCAGGGATTGAACTCAGGCCACAGTGGCTGGCGATAGTTTGATAGCACTGAGTCTTTAAACCCTGTGCCACCAGGGAGGCCCTTTTTTCTATTTATTTTCAAATAACTTATTTTGGCTTTTAAAATTTTATTTAATTTTTACTTTATAGGAGACCATCATAAGATTTAATCCTTTAAGGAACTAATGGTTATAAATATTAAAACACTAAAAAATGAAAAATTTCAAAATTCTAGCTGAAACAAGAGGCATCATACTGTCCTAGCTTGTTGAAAATGATACAACAGGTCAAAAATGGTGTCACCTGAGCAAAGTAAGATGTAATACCTGACCTAATGTAACCTTTCCCCTAGGGAAGCTGGAATTTTCTGGTCAGCACTAATCTACCCGACAGAAAGAGTACCGTAATTATAATGCACTATGAATTTGGTTCTACTTCATTAAATTAGGATTTTCAAAGATTTTATAAGTTTTGAGTATTTTTTTCTCCTATCAATTAAAATAGAAATTCATGTGCTTAACAATATTAGCACAGTTAAAATTTCCAACTTATCTAGGGTCATGCACATACAAAAACTGACCTATGTAAAATCTACCTGAAAACTCAAATGCACCCATCTTATATCTTGAGGATCTTTTGCCCAAAAGGAATAAATACTATTTGGTTCCAGAATTCTTGCCCAGCTCCGACTGTTATCTTACACACAGCTTACATTTTTAAAGCCAAGACACACATAGGAGAATAATATCACAAACTGCTAAAGGAACGTAAAGTGTTTCAATATTCAATACATAATAGCATGAGATAAATTGTCTGATTCCCCATAATTCAGAAACAGCCCCACATTCCCAAGTCTGCAGTCCAGATTCTTCCTTTTGAGACAAAGCCCCTAAAGTTGGCCAGTGCCTGCAAATATAGGCAGCCAAAATGTGATGCTCCACACCCCTGTCCCTCTCCTATAAGCATGGAAAAGATTCCTCCCTCAGACTTCCATTCTCCCAAGAGAGGAAACATATAGTCTGTTTCAGTTCAAGGTTCTAAATCAAATGAACCCACAAATTCCAGAACTCTTTATTAGCAGACAGACTTTCTAATCTTCAGAGGCTTTCTCAATCTGCACAAATTATACCCTGAACACATCTACACCATGGATGCAAAATTCAAGCCTACAAATACATATAGACCCAAAGAGATTATAATTGCAACCTTAAAAATGCCATTCCTGCTCTGTTACCACACCAACCCCTGAACAGTTCCAGTTTTCCAAGGCTGTGCAGCTTCTCTTAGTGCAAGAGGTCCTTCTTTGGTGGGTATGAGCCACTTTCAGAGGGAGGACGCCCCCAGGAAGAACCAGCTGGGCCTGCAAGTACCTGACTTTGCAGGCTCAAAAGGGGGCCTTCGCTTGGAGACACTCACTGCAGGCCCTGCCTCCCAATGAGTTGCTCACTCCCAGTAGTGATATTTTAAATACACACACCCAGCATTTTAAGAATCCAGCAAAACCACATAACCCTAGTCTTTATGTATACCAGAGGAAAGAAAATTGTATGCTTTTTTTCTACAAGAAAACCTGAAAAAATATATTCCTTTCAGAAAACAAATGGCAACTAATTACTATTTTCGTGGCAAGAATTTGTTTCAGAAACAATCATAATTTAACACACTGGTAGGTAGGTGTTGTGTGTCCCTAAGCCCTGACAGTCCATCGCAAATCACCTAAAAGAAAATAACAGATCTCAGAATGCTGCTACATTGGCTATCATTAAAAAAAAGAAAGAAAATATTGCCAAAAAAGAAAGAATTATGGTATATTTTTATTATTTTTCTGAAATTTACTTCTTTGGAAACTTTCAACTCTCTCTCAAGACCTACTGATTAAATATATTTTACATTTACTGTAAAACAGAGACTGAAGGAATGTGAATAAAATCACAAACTCAGGGAGCTAAAGCAATGACCTACAACTGTGTTGAAAGAACAGGTCACCCAGAAAGTCTTTTAAGAAGAACTTCCGCCCAAGTGACTTCCCATGGGATCTTTGTGCCCAAGCAGATTCTGGGAGGAGAGACACAAGTACTTTATACAACTTAGTTCCACCACGTAGTTTAAACCACTACTGTATTCTGTGAACTATCCACAGGCAAAACAACAACAACAACAAATAAGGCATTCACATCTCTGCAGATAAATGATAATTAAAATACTACATTTGTCTGAAATACATACGGAGGACAAATAGTTAATAGTGTTAGAAACTGGAGAGGGGAAGATGGCGTTTGGGAATGCGGGGAAAGATCTAGAAATTTAGGGATTTATTGCCAGACCTAGGAAGAGCTAGACTGAGGGGTCAGGGTCAAGATATGAGATCCTTCCTGCTCCCAAGCATAAGGAAAACTCAGTAGAAAATGAGTGCACCTTAGAGAGAAAGGAGGGTCTGGGGACCGCATAGATCCAGGGTCCTCCTACACAATATTCCTCAAGACCAAGTCAGGATTTCCCCCCGATGACCCTTCCTGTGGTCCCTGCACAATCTGGGGAGATTAGGGACTGGGGCACAACGCTGCTCTGGGAGGCTCCAGAGCCAAAGCTGCCGCGCGCAGTAGCCGCCAGAACGCCGGGGTCCCGCCAGCCCAGCCCCCGCGCTGGTGCCGGAGGGGACCGAGGTCCGAGTGGCGCCACTGGCGGCCGCAGGTCCGCTAACTCTAGAGCCAACCGCGGGGAGGCGCGGGTCCCATCACACCCAGTTGCGACCAGTTCTAATCAGCCCTTCCGCCCTCATTTTCGACCACTGGATCCACACACTTACCATTTTTCGGGTTTTGGGGTACGTGATCGTCCACTCTAGGTCTCCTGCGCCAAGCGCGGGTCACAGCGGTAAAAGATGTGGAGTCACTTGGCGCCTTTCAAGGAGCGCGAGAGCTGACGTGCCGCGCAGTCGCAGCTAGTGGCTGTAAGACCCCCACAAGCTGCGACAAGCACGCAGTTCACGCTGTTACCCAAGCATCAGAGCGTTGCCCCTACGCACGTTTCCGGCGACTTTCTTGATTGGACAGCTTTCGAGGCAGGCCCCGCCCACTTATGTCTGAGTGACAGCAAGTTGGAGGTCTTGTCTTTGAGCCGACCTTGTCCTGGCAGTGAGCTAGAACCTGCCCTCTCTAAGGGCATTGTGTTTAACCATAGACTGCCAAGCCACTCATGGAATTGAGACTTTTCACAAACCTAGACACTTAAAAGGGACCCTATTATACATAATTGAGTCTGGCTCTATTCTTATCTCTGACCATTTCCAGCGGGGGTGGGAGGGTGAGTGGGGGCTAGAGGGGCTTGAGGGATGAAAGGAGGGAGATCTTTCTCTTTCTCACCCACACTCACTTGGTAATTTAAAGCCTTTGCCCCCACAGCCCCAAAGCTTAGGACACTGCATATATGATCAAACTGAAGCAAAGAAATCTCCAGAAAACCTATCTCATTTGCTGAAAGAAACCGGGAGAAAAATAACAGATGGTAAAGATATGAAGAACTCGAAGAGTCAGGATGGGACAGGACAGAGATGAGTAAGGCGGGAGAGCACTGGGAGATCCTCAATCATCCCACAGTCTACTTAGGAATCTTGATGATCCTTAAGATGTTTATATTGTTATTACCAAATCTTATCACAAAACGTTTTGTACTCTCTTTTCTAAATATATTTGATAATAAAAATTTTAAGTAGTTACACTTAGATAAGAACATAATTTGTATGTTTGCCATGTATGGTGGCAATCTGAGTGTTCGTTCATTCATGGTTTTGGGGACAAAAGCTGGTAATAATTCAAGTCTATTTAGAAAGAATGGGTTATATAAACACCATTTGTACTTTTTAAAAACAAAAGGTATTGATATGAACAGATCTGGAAGGTTTGTCATTAGGACAAATAAACAAGGTGTATTCAACATATATATTTATATTTTATATATGTTATATATAACACAATCCCTAAGACCCTTTTACATAAACTGTAGAGATAGTTGACCCCAACCCCAAGATGTGGTTGAATAGTAGTAACTAACACACATCAACAGGAATTGATAAAATCATTTATTACTTCTGTAATGGAGGCAAGGCAAATATCTCACACAGGTAGGAACTGGCTTGAGACAGCAAGGAAAGGAGACTGGTCTGAGTTTTTTTTAATTGCAGTTAGAGTGGGTGGGCTAGGGCTAGAGTTTATGAGGAGAGAGGGGACTTTCACACCAGTGCCAAAGGACAAAGAAAGCCAGGCTTTCTTGCTACCTCACATAGATATGAGAGACAAGGAGAAAAAAAGTAGCATTAGGTTCTTTAGTTGTTTACACACACACACACACACACACACACACACACACACACCCCTCTTTTGCCCCTCCAGTTCATGGCATAGTGATACAGTTAACAAGTTTGTCTTTCCCCCATTTTTTGCAATTCCCCTTATCTAGCATTAACAGGATTGATGGCTTGTCTTTCCCATTTGTTGCAGCTTCCCCTCCCCTTGGGAAGAAAAACAAGCTGGCGCCCACCGGTTTCCCTGTAGACCCTTCCCCCTCGCCCTAAGGAAAACAAGTTGGCGATGATCGCCTGTCTCTGTGCCTTGACACCTTCCCCTTCCCTTAAGATGAATGAGCTGACACCCATCCATCTCCCTGTTGAGCTGGCGCCCACTTGTCTCTGTGCGGACCCCCTCCCCCTCCCCTTCGCAGACCCCTACCTATCTCCCCCTGTATAAATACCCCTGCCCGCTGCCAAAGAGCAGGACGGTGGTCTTTCGGACATGAGTCTGCCGCCCTCCTCATTTGTCGACAAATAAAACCGCTTTCCTTTTCCTCAAACTCAGTTTCCTTTTATTGGCTGAGGGAAACTGAGGCCAGCGTTCGGTAACAATAGAACTGGTGAAATCCTTGTAATTTTCTGAATGATAAGAGTACTAGCAGCATCTATTGTTCTAATATTTGGCCTTTAACTCTGTTCCTGACACACGATCCCTAAAACCCGTGTAAATTGCTAAGTGAAAAAATCACTAGTCCTTGCACTGAGATGACTTTTGGGCTCCTAGGTGGGGGCTGGTCAACAGAAACCAAACTAGGAGGAGATCAACGTGGAGGCGGGGAAATGCTGAGAGTAAGTCCTCCCCCCCCCAAAAAAAAAAAACCAAAAAACTAGGATTGGAAATCTAGAATTTTCAGCTCCGTCCCCACCCCCACCCTCCACAAAGGGGAGAGTTGCTGGAAATGGAGTTAATGATCAATCCTATCTACATGATGAAGCCTCCATAACATTGCAATAGTATGCGGTTTGGAGAGCTTCCAGGTCAGAGAACACATCCGCATACCAGAAGGGCGATGCACCCTATTGTCATATGGACAGATGCTCTTGGCCTAGCACTCTCCTAGACCTTGTCTTGTGGATCTCTTTATCTAGCTGTTCATTTGTATGTTTTATTATATCCTTTAGTAAACTGGTGAGCATGTTTCGCTGAGTTCTGTGAGATACTCTAGCAAATTAATTAAACCCAAGGAGGGGGTCATGGGAACTCCTGATTTACAGAAAACTTGCATGGGTAACTTGGGGAATTACTACTTGTGACTGGAGTCTGAGATGGGGTGGGAGCACTCTTATGGGACTGACCCCCTTAACTGTGTGGATCTCACACTCTATCAGGTAGATGGGGCAGAATTTATTAACATTGTAGGACACCCAGGTTTTTGCTGTAGGGTAAGAGATTGTGATTTATAAGATCTATCTATCTATCTATCTACCTACCTACCTACCTACCTATTTACCTATTTACCTACCTACCTACCTACCTACTTGCTTTCGGTTATACAGCTGACTTAATGTAGTTTTCATATATATTTGATCTTTATCCATAGTTCTGGCTCACAGGTCCCAGGGTGCTTGAAATTTTGTGAGTTATTAGAGCAACGGGAGCATCTTTTTTCATAATATTTAGCCTCTGTTTTCAGCTTCTGAGAAAGCATCAGAGCCATAAAAACTTAATGGAGGTCTTGTTATCATAATATGTCTACATCAATGAAAATAACTTTTGGAAAACATCTGTGTTTGGGGCTGGTTTTCAGAGAAACTGAGATGGAATAGAGGATGAAACTTTCAGTCCCATCCCTAATTTTCTGGAGAGGGGAGAGGAAGTAGAAGTGAAGTTCAGTTGCCAATGGGCAATGGTTTAACTAATCATGCCTATGTAATGAAACTTCCATAAAAGTCCCCAAAGGAAAGGCTTGCAAAAGTTTCTAGCTTGGGACTCCATTTGGCTCCCCAAGAGCCAAATGGAAAGGATGTACAGGGTAAAGGGATGAGGGGTATAGTGAGCTTCCATGACATCTCCAGGCAAATCTTCCTCCCAACACAAACACTGATGTGTTCACTAACTCATAATCTCTGTGAATCCCGAGGGTTAGGAGTTTTGATGGTTTCCTTAGATAGGCACAGCTGATTGAATCACTGGGCATTGGTGAATAACTTAATCGTTCTAGTCTCTTTTTCCTTTCTAGAGGTGACATGGGGACTGAAAGTTCTAAGCCTCTAGTCAAGCTTTTGTTCTTCATGTTGACCAACCTCCATCCTGAAGCTATGTTGGGCCCACAGTCATCTTGTTAGAACAGAAGCTGTTCCTATCACCCTTATCACTCAGAAAGTCCAAGAGTTTTAAGACACCTTTGCTAAGATAGAAAATCTTTATTATACCACAGAAGGTAATGAGCCCAGGGACATGGGGCTCATTAAAACACCAAGAACAAGTCATAGGACTATATAGAACATTTCAATTCCTCTCAACATACCACTACAAGAAGACTCCTGTGTAATAACAGTGGAATATATGGAAGGAACTGCAAGTGTCAAAACTTTTTTTAAGAAGTAGCTACAGTAACCTAAAAATGACATGAAGACAAAAATCAAGGACACTTGAAGAAATTTTCACAAATGACAGTTACAGCAAAAAGGAAATGCAACCAAAACCCTGGTCAGAGTTTTCACTAAATGCCTATTTACCTCAGTTCCTTTTTCAGAATACATCATGTCCTGCATTGAATAAAAAGTTAAAAGACATACTAAAAGACTTAGAAACATACATTTTCATGAGCTAGGACAAAATAAAGAACCCAATTCAGTAGCATATATGTTGAATTATCACACCAGAAATGTAAAACAACCATGATTAATATGTTAATTGCTCTAATGAAAATAGCGGACACTAAACAAGAACAGAAAGGTAGTGTAAACAAAGGGAAATGCTAAGAAAGAACCAAAAGGGAAAATTAAGAAACTAAAAAAACACACAAAAGAACAGAACAGAGATGAAGAATTCTTTTGGATGTCTCCTTTATACAATGGAAAACTGCAGGAAAGAATCAGTGATCTTGAAAAGGTGACCAGCAGACTTCCAAACTGAAATGCAAAGAGATAAAAAGAACAAGAAAGATGGCAAAGAAATGAAGGAATCTGGGACAGTTCCAGAAGGTGTTACAAACACATAATGGAAATACATGAAGGAGAAGGAAAGGAACAGAAAAAAATAAGTGAAGTAATGATGACTGAGATTTTCTCAAAATTAAAGCTAACCACCAAATCATAGACCCCGAAAGATCAGAGATCTCCAAACAAAATGAGAATCCAAAAATGCACACTAGAAATATTACATTTAAACCTGAAGAAGTCCAAAGATAAAATCTTCAAAGGTGCTAGGGAGCAAAAATCTTAGTTACAGAGAAACAAGAATAAGAATGAAATTGGACTTCTTTTCAAAAACGATCCAAACTATTTTATGCAATAGTTAAAGTAATGAATAAAAAACCATTCAACTACAATTCTATGTCAACAAAATTATCCTTTAAAAGTGAGGGGGAAATAGAATTTCTAGGACAAAGATTCAGGGAATTTGTCACCAGCATGACAAGAAATGTTAAAAGAAATTTGTCAGGAAGAAGGTAAATGATGAGGAGTATTAGAAAAAGAATGAAGTTTAAATAAAAA